GCTAAAATAGAATAAATAAGATGCAAAAAATAAAACAGCACAATGACACAGACACACAGATGACATACATGCAATAAATAAAAAATTAAAAGGAATGCATCAGGCCCTACTGTGTATTAAAAGCCAAGGCAAATGAATATTCACAAATTGTTCTATAAATCCACTTCACTGTTTCAATTCATATTTCCAAGAAGCCAGAGGAGTAAAACCACATACGTATACTGTGAGTCAAACCTTAGCCTTATCTGTGGACTTGTGCATGACTAAGACAACTATGTGCAGGAGCAGAGCTTCCCCAAATAGAGGCGTACTGCATCTGCATTTATCAGCTATTCTTAGGTGGAAGTGAACTGCTCTGTCCTCTCACTGTGCAATCTCCTCTGTGACATGAACTCAAACACTGAAGCATGAGGTGGTTGTTCAACTTCTTCATTGTGGCTACTCATTTGTCAGCAACCTGATATTTGGGGGAAATATGAAAATGCTTTATCTGTCACTGTAACCACCAACTGTCTTTAGTGAAAATATGCGCTCACATCTTTTCACATACAGTACCTTTCTATCCAAAGCCAACATGTCTCAGAGTGTCAAGTGATTTAAAAGTAAAACGGTGGAAAAAGAGGTTACATTTAGACAAGTGACACTTGAAAGGCCAGTGATTTGTCTTGTACAAAGTGGAGCTACCTTTTTACCATTTCATTTTCATGCTGCAGCATACTGCCATGGTGCTTTGCATACAGTTAGAGTGCAACTCCACAGGGCAACAACACACAGTACAGTCAACAGTCTACAGAAGGCACTTCAAGTAACACTAACACTACACATCAACCCATAACACCACACACGAATAAGATATTTATTCTGATAAAGAACATTAATTTCTTTGCACAAAGACATTTTCAGTTGCACAAAATATAGAATATTTTGTTTTGTTATTGTCCCTCAGAAATTCAACAAATAAGGTATCTAGTCATGCATGTTGCTACTTGTACTATCATGTAGTTATTGCTTTTAAGTAATATTAATTTTATTAGCATTATAATGTTTTAACTATATATGCATTTTAATGTTTTTCTCTCTGTGGGCATCTTGTATGCATTTTCAATGTTTAATCAATTTGTGTACATTGTGTTAAGCACTTTGAATTGCCTTTGTGTATGAAAATGTACTATATAAATAAACTTGCCTTGCCTTATCAAAGTCATTTTGTGTTCCAGCACAGGAGAGATATAAAAGAACTCTTTGTTTTTGGTTTCTACATAACATAGTAAGCATTACATTTAAATGACTTCCACTAGTTTTTTTTTACTCACAAAGGTTTAATTGCATGAACATTAACAAGCATATGTCTCCCTATCTCCACTGCTGTGACAGCAACTGTCCGCTCCCTGTGTGTAGGTGTGTGCGTGTGTGTGTGTAGGAGGTGAGCACCGCTTGCGCTCCTTCAAACATCAACACAAAGGAAAAGCAGCTCCATAAACACCAAAACCATATTTCTACTCATAGTTCTGCTCATTATTAAAAACCACTCAGTGGTGTTTGATGAAATGCTCTTGTAAATCCCGAGCGCATTAGCACCAGTTCTCCTGTGAGTTACTACATGTACTACAGCCTGCAGTTTGCTAGATAGCTTTGTCTTTATCCACAAATACATCTTTGCTACATGTTCTCCCTTAATACATCCATGATGAAAACAGACAGCACATTTCCATGGTTGGACGTAGTTTCAGTGTCTTCACCCGACATGCCCCAGAAGCTCGATTTTTTAAATTGTCATTGTAAGACAAATCGTGCAGATTCTCAGTCATCCAGGTCATAGTAAACCGCAACCGAAATAACCTTGGAAATCAACTGGACTTGGATATCTAGATCGAAGACGTTTCACCTCTCATCCAAGAGGCTTCATCAGTTCTGACTGACTGGTGTTGAGTCGGAGATATTTATCCCCCTCGGTGTGGTTTCAGTCCTTAGAAGGCCAACACTGCCCATTAACGACTGAGTCGTTACAGCCCAGTATCAGTGAGGGTCGTTACCTGTCTTTGGATCCTCCCCTGTCAACCGACGCCTATTGTCCTGGTGGGCATTCGTGCATATGTGCTGCTGCGTGCATATGCGCCGCCATCATGGGCAACTTGGGGGGGTTCAGTGTCTTGCCCAAGGACACTTTGACATGTGGAATGCAGGCACCGAGATTCAAACCGTCAACCTTCCGGTTGGGAGACAACTTCTCTACCACCGCACCACTGTCAAAGTACTCCTTATTTTTTCATAATTTTTAAAGATAATTTTATATCCTTGGCAATTTTTGTAATCATTCAAATTTGGCTGGGTGGTTTATATCTTCCTGTGATGTGACAAACTTAGAACATATATATTTCCACTTTACCTCCACATTAAAAGCATAATGAATGCATCTTATTTCACTGGACTCTGCATGGCAAATACAATTGCAACCTCGTCATGCAAATAGCAATAGAGGTCATTCCAAGATCATAAGGGGATAATGTAGTACAAATTGTATGCACTTCTGTCCTGCCGTATTGCTAAATTTAGCCTTTTACTGTATATGGTGTATAATATATCCCTGATCTTAGTGTTTACTAAACATTCACAGTACTGTTGCTACAGTATATATATATATATACAGTATGTACTGTAACTCTTCTAGTTTTCTAGTTTGTCTGTCAGTGGTTGACAACTGGATGATACAACAGTGGAAAAATATGTTTCTTAGTTAATAGAGAAATTAAACCATTTCTTTTTAAAAGTGCTGCTCAGGGGGTCACTGAAGAACTCAGTGTTTTCAGTTCAATGAATGTAGTTTTTCACATATAATCACATTATACTTTGAGCTGTTCTTTTAACATCTGCTAAACAAGCAGCATGGTGGTGCAGTGGTTAGCACTGTTACCTCACAGCAAGAAGGCTCCGGCCCCACCCAGGACCTTTCTGTGTGGAGTTTGCATGTTCTCCCCGTGCTTGCGTGGGTTCTCTCCGGGTACTCCGGCTTCCTCCCGCAGACCAAAGACATGCAGCTTAGGTTGATTGGTGTCTCTAAATTGCCCATAGGAGTGCGTGTGTGGTTGTTCGTCTATGTGTTAGCCCTGCGATGGATTGGCGACCTGTCCAGGGTGTACCCTGCCTTCGCCCGATTGCCGGCTGGGATTGGCTCTCTGCTCTGTGTTTTCAAAATATGATCTGTAAATTAGCCCCACCTGCCACCTCATAAACTTGCAGAAAAATTAAAATTTAAGCTTTGTCCAGTCTGCGACTTTGTTAGGCTAACAGCTAATAGCTAACTGTGGTGCTCTGTATAGTGCAGGGTCTGCTGTGTGGTTGTTATGTGCTTTGCATCTCTCCCTCCACCCACTATGGTTGTTTCAGACCCACTACAACACATTCATCATTCATGTGTTGCTATTTTTGTCACTGCTTAATACTGAGGCAGTTAAAAAACATAACTGTGGCTGTAAATTTTCATCTGTGTTCAGTCTTAATAGTGGCCCTGCTCTGTGCACTCTAGGATTTATAACGTTTCTTTGCAGGGAAAGGGTTATGTTAAGGATGGCTACAGTGCGAACCATGCATGCCCCGCCCAAAAAATCCGGAACTCCAAAACAAAACAGTCCATCTCCAAAATTCAGCACTACATTGTTCTCAGTCTTAACATTTTCAGCAACTATTTTCTGACACTGATAATATGTTTAGAAACAAATCACTGATTTTGTTTTACCCGGAATTTAAACACACTGACTACACAGACAATTAAACAAGCTTGTGCAAAGTGGGTGGTAGCTGTGGCTCAGGAGGTAGAGCAGGTCGTCTCCTAACTAGAATATCAGCAGTTTGATTCCTGGCTTGTCCAGTCCACACGTTGAAGTGTCCTTGGGCAAGACACTGAACCCCCAGTTGCTCCCGGTGATGACACTGGTGTGTGAATGTGTGAGTGCTTGGGAGTGCGAATGGGTGAATGGCCAAGTAGTGTAAAAGCACTTTGAGTGTGCTGTAAAGCGCAAATATAAGACCATTTAGTGTTACTGTTCATTAGCAGAAAAGCTCAACATAAAAATGATAGATTAATAAGTAATACATTGGTAAACATGCTGGAGATTTGACAGCTTTGGCCATTGGAATCCATCTTTTCATCCATTCTTTGTATCACCTACCTCTGTTCAGAGTTGCAGGAGCTGCTACTTATCCCAGCATGCACTGAGTGAATGGCATGGAACAACAGGACAGAAACTGCCTTCAGGTATGTGCAATTATGTAAACAACACAGTCAACGGACAGCAAGCGCTTGACATCTTTTCAGTGTGTGTGAATGGCCTTTGTATGTATTTTTAGAAGCCCTGTAATCCCTCTAAACAATTGTAACAAAAAAGGGGAAAAAAGAAAGAGAAAGGGCTGATTTACCTAGCAGTTAAGGCTGTGGCTCCTCTGTGCTTGCTTCTGTTACTTAGACCATGCCCTTTGTCTGGGGCCAGGGCTTGGTCTGGGGCCAAAATTTGCATGCCAAGGGCCACTTGAATATGAAGCTCCCCGGATTCTTACTACCTGACATGCAAAACCAGTGGTGGACCAGTTAAAGTGACGCACGCGCACAGGCAACACAGGCGTGTCTCCTCAGAGTGTTATGGAAATGAGCACTGTGATTTTCTGGGATATTGTACCTGCAGATTGTCAAGGGATGAGGGATAGACATAAGGGCTTAAGGTGAGGTGATATTGAGGTTGGTCCATAAAAGTTCAAAAATTAAATGCTTAGTGGCAAGGATAAGAGACTGAAAGTCAGATAAAAGGCAAGTGAAGTAGATCAGTAGAGGAGGAACAGACTGAGAAAATTCAAAGGATGCCAAGGTCTTTCCTTGTTAAAAAAAAACGTGGGGCATGTGGAGCATGGCAATGGAAAGAACCTGAACAGCATGTTTGGAAAGAGGATAATGCAGTAGGTAAGAATTTCAAGTATGGAATATTTTCAAATCTATTTTCAGCTGTAAAAAAGTAAGCAGTAATATTCAAGTTGGTATCTGTTGGTATCTGTGTCTAGCTGTATCATGTAGTGATGAATTTGACCTTGTTGTTTTGCTTATAAAAAAACCCAATGTGTTATCCCTTTTTTGAGCGAATGAAAATGCTAAGGAGCAGCTATCCTGCAGTCCTACCACCCAACAGTCTGCCAGTGTGCCTCAGCCAGTAACCAACTTACGATGTGGGACATTACCTGTACCTTTGACTGCATCAGGAGGAGCAGGGGCCGACACCAGGCCAGACTGGTCCACACTGATGCTCCGAGGCTCCTTCTATCATCCAAGTGCAATGGCACTGGTCAGCAGAGCAAAGGTAAGATCCGATTTTATTGTCACATATACAGTAGTGCCACTACTATAATCTGACCAAATTTACAGAAATGTCCTCCAATGTTTGGTATTTATTACTGTCATAGCTAGCACAGTATAGTGAATAGGACAGCTGATAAGTAGAGAAATACCAAGTGGCAGTCTGGTTAAGACAGATGACAAGCGGAAGTGCACTGGACTAGAACTAAGCTGCAGCTTAGTGTGTCAAACTGCACTGCTTACAGGTATAAGTAACAAAAACAACATAGTGAGAGCAAGGAAATGACTTCAAGGCAGGACCTCTGGGTTCACCTAAACCTGTCTCCTTAACCGGGCTTAGACTTCGTGAAACGAATTAAGCTCATTGGGGGTGAACCAAGAACCAATTCCAGCTGATATTGGGTGAGAGGCAGGGTCCACCCTAGGCAGGTCGCCATTCTAATCACAGGGCTGACACTTAGAGACAGACAACCACACACACTCACATTCACTCCTAGAGTCAATTTAGAGTCACCTGTCAACCTAAGCTGCATGTCTTTAGACTGTGAGAGGAAGCTGGGGTTTCCAGAAAGAACCCACACAGGCACAGGGAGAATACAATATACTAACACCACACAGAAAGGCGTCAGGTTGGCCGGGGCTCAAACCCTGAACCTTCTTGCTGTGAGGAGATAGCACTAATCACAGCATCACCATACTGGCCTGGTTTATTGATGGGGAAGGAAAAAAAGATGGTTATGATTACAGAGATAGTAGTAAGTGTAATAATGAAATAACAATAATAAATTGAAATAACACAAAAAGAGAAAAAAGTAAATCCATAAAACTGACAAATCAATCAGAATCACCTTTATTGGCCAGGTGTGTTGGACACATGAGGAATTTGACTCTGGTACATTAGCTCTCAATGCATATATAAGGCAGCAATGGTCAAGTAACCAATATAAGGCTGAGAACAGAAATAAACAAGTGATGTGCAATCAAGCAAAGGAATGTGCCTTAGGAGTAAAAATAAAGTATTATATACACACAGTCTAGATTCGACGAATTGATATGTACAAGGTATATATTACAGGTATTGCACTAAGGGTTATTGTCCAGTCATACTGTTGTGGGTCAAGTGTTCATCAGAGTGACAGCCTGGGGCCAATCACTAAACAAAAAAAAGAAAAAGAAAAGAGAAAGAAAGAAAAAGATAATACTGAATACTATGAGAATAAAGAAAACCGTAAGCAATGTTCTCAATAAAGATATAATAGAGTAATGATTACGGGTGTGACAAGATCTTGTGGCATGAGATCTTGCGATCAAAATCAAATCAAATCAAATTGTATTTGTATAGCGCCAAATCACAACAAAAGTCATCTCAGGACACTTTACAAAGTAAGGTCTAGACCTTACTGTTATCAATATTATTACCTAGGGAAAACCCAACAAATCCCCCTTGAGCAAGCACTTTGCGACAGTGGGGAGGAAAAACTCCCTTTAACGGAAGAAACCTCCGACAGACCCCGGCTCTTGGTGGGCGGCCTTCTGCCTCGACCGGTTGGGGTGAGTGGATAGAGGAGAGACAAAAGAAAAAAAGCAACAAGACACAACAATCAAACACTGATCAGGTCGATGTGGCCGGTGACTGCTCGTCAGAGATATAGAGCTCCAGGGCAACCTGCAGAAAGTTACAGGGAGAGAGAGAGAGGACACACTACGGGAGAGAGGAGACACAAAGTTAGTAATGTGTAATGGAGGCATATAGAAGCATAGGGAGAGAGAGGAGAGGGGAG